AGACCTGAAGGGCAACTAGGGGCCATAGTCTCAGTGGTTCCACCAGGCTCTATCGGACCTGATCTTTTTTTTTATGCTTTTTTTTTTTTTTTTTAAGTTTTGTTCCACATTTGTCTTCAACTCTATCTGGGGTCTCCAATTTTGATCCTTTTCCAAGTGGTTGGCAGTGGTAATAGGGCACCATCTAATTCTTCTGGTCTCAGGGTCATATGGGCTGAGGTCCTCATGATCCATTAGTCCTTTGGACTAATTGTTTCCTTGTGTCTTTTATTTTATTCACTCTTCTTTCCAGGCAAGGGGAGACCAATAGTTGCATCTTAGATGACCACCTACTAGCTTTTGAGACCTCAGTCATTACTCACCAAAGTAGGATGTAGAACAATGTTTTTATATACTATGTTGTGCCACTTGAGCTTGATGTCCCCTGCAACCATGGTCCTGAGCCTGCAGGCCCAGTGACTAACTCTTCAAGGTACTTAGGTATAACTAAGAAGTTGTCCTAACTTTGTCCCCTGTTAGCCCTATACTGCATATGGACATTTTTATAGCACATACAGATATGCATGTGGGAACATCATCTGTTCAACTTATGTATGGTCGTGCTACATTATCATTTGCCTACCCATAGTTGATCTTGCCTGTCTGTGTGTGTATTCCCCCATAGATTAGTGTTTGCTGTTACTGATAACGCAGTGCTGTGTATGCAATAATAATTACCTTACTGTCTGTCTCTGTTGTGCACCTCTCCATGACCTCCTTTTCCTTAGTGATATTGTACTGGTCACACACTTTTATTATTTTGCCTTTCTCTTCACCCAAATCAGCACCTATCTCTTAACTAGCAAGAAAATGTAGTTTTGATAATACTTAATTCCATAAAATAGAAAATAATACTTAATACTTCTCGGGTAATATTAAATGCAAACAAACGTATTTGTTGATATTCAAGCACATTATAATTTACCATTAAGTGTTAAAAGAACATATGGTTACTGTACAGATAGATGTAAGTGTAGACATGGAAATTGAAAGTAATTGACTTTCCTAGGGTAAACTTAATCCTTTTGTTGGTCTTCAGCAAGAAAAAAGCTCTGGTGGCTCAATGGTTAAGCATTGTTTTGTAAACCAAAAGGTTGGACACTCCAACCCATCTAGTGATTTTGTGGGAGAAGGACGTGGTGATTTGCTTCCATAAACGTGAGTGTTGTTGTTATTATTGTGTGCCATTGAGTGGATTCTGCCTCATAGCAAACTTTGGGACCGATTAGAACTGCCCCATAGGGTTTCCTAGGCTACCAGGAAAATTCTGTGTCGCGTGGGGGTTGCTATAAGTCTGAAATCAACTTGATGGCACCTAACAACAGCAGAAGCAATTACTAGGAAATTACTGTCTACAACACCATGTCTAATAACTGCAGCCATCTTTAGTGAGTAATACTGATAAGATTATAACCATTTTTTATCATGAAATGGCAAAACATGAACCAATTTCCTAAACTTCCTAGGAAGTCTGAAGATGGACAAATTCTTTTCAGTTTTACTTTTTGTTGTTGTTGTTAGGTTCTGACTCATAGTGACCCTATGTACATCAGAGTGAAACACTGCTCGGTTCTGCACCATCCTCACAATCCTTGCTGTGCTTGAGCCCATCATTGCAGCCATTGTGTCCATCCATCTTATTGAGGGTCTTGCTCTTTTTTGCTGACTTTCTTCTTTACCAACCATGATGTCCTTCTCAGGGACTAGTCCCTCCTGATAACATGTCCAGAGTGCATGAGTTAAAGTCTTGCCACCCTTTCTTCTAAGGAACATTGTAACTGTACTTCTTCCAAGACAGATTTTTTTCCTTTTTCTTGTAGTCCATGGCATATTCAATATTCTTATTCAGTATTCTTTGCCAACATCATAAGTCAAATGCATCAACTCTTCTTTGGTCATCTTTATTCACTGTTTAACTTTCACATACATATGAGGTTATTGAAAATACCATAGCTTAGGTCAGGCACACCCTTATTCTTAAGGTGATATCTTTGCTCTTTAACAAGTTAAAGAAGTCTTTTGCAGCA